TGACATGATGCGTGATCATTATTTGACTGATCATGGTCGCCAAATGTAATCCACTTAATTGCCAACTTTAATGCCCCTGCCGCTGATATATTCTCGTGGATATATTCACGTGAAAATGTGCGCGTGTATCTCGAATACCCTGTTATATATATAAATAGTAACCTGTTATATATATAGCAAGTACATCACATGAGGCTGCGTTCATGCAGTCCGCGTGTGCGCAGTGGGGAGCGGTGGCGCAGCGGTTAGCGCACTGCGCTACGAACCCGGCGATCCGGGTTCGACTCCCGCTCTCGGCCATCACCGGGGTGACGATTATCTGAGCCGGTCTTGGACCCTCTCCCCTAGGTCGGCTCAGCCTCAAACGAGTACCCGGTACGGTATGGTAACATCGCCACTCGGGAGACAAAGGCGGCCCGGCCTGGTTGCTGGCCGGCTCACCCCCTTTCACAGGTGCTACTCGCTAACAGCACTTGCCCCAACAGTCCGTCAAGGCTACACGGGGGGGGGGCACCTTTGTCTTTGGTGTTGACGACGATGACATCGCAGTGTGACCCAGGGAGTCGGGCAGGGGGGGGCGAAGTGTGAGAAACGCACCCCCCCCCCCGTGCCCCTCCCCTCCACCCCCCCTCCCTCCCCCGGGTCTAATCAACTGATAAACGTAGCGGCCACTTGCACGGGCAGCTGTATCAACAAGTCAGCAGCCATCAGCAGCAGCAGAACCTCCCCAAACTCCTCGCCCCGACCTGCACACGCATCCGCGAAATATCTCGCTCTCGATGGATCCACATCGCCGTCCCATCTCTCCCATCCCCCTGTCGCCATCTCTCTCGCTCTCTCTCTCGTTTTTTTCTTACGATCAGAGGAAACAAGAAGATGCTCGGCGTAGTCGACACTTTGCTTCGCTCATCGTTTCGGGTTTTTTGTTTCAATGCTTTGCTTTATGTGCCCCCCCCCCCCTCCCCCTTTTTAAATGAAAGATTTCAAGAAAGATTTCACGCTCTTCTCTCCTCCTTATTACCCCTTATCTCTCTACCCCCTCTCTCTCTACCCCCTCTCTCTCTACCCCCTCTCTCTCTACCCCCTCTCTCTCTACCCCCTCTCTCTACTCCCCCCTCTTTCTCTACCCCCTCTTTCTCTACCCCCTCTTTCTCTACCCCCTCTTTCTCTACCCCCTCTTTCTCTACCCCCTCTTTCTCTACCCCCTCTTTCTCTACCCCCTCTTTCTCTACCCCCTCTTTCTCTACCCCCTCTTTCTCTACCCCTCTTTCTCTACCCCCTCTTTCTCTACCCCCTCTTTCTCTACCCCCTCTTTCTCTACCCCCTCTTTCTCTACCCCCTCTTTCTCTACCCCCTCTTTCTCTACCCCCTCTTTCTCTACCCCCTCTTTCTCTAACCCCCTCTTTCTCTACCCCCTCTTTCTCTACCCCCTCTTTCTCTACCCCCTCTTTCTCTACCCCCTCTTTCTCTACCCCCTCTTTCTCTACCCCCTCTTTCTCTACCCCCTCTTTCTCTACCCCCTCTTTCTCTACCCCCTCTTTCTCTACCCCCTCTCTCTCTACCCCTCTCTCCTACCCCTCTCCCCCCCCTCCCCCCTCTCTCTCTCTACCCCCTCTCTCTCTACCCCCTCTCTCTACCCCCCTCCTCTCTACCCCCTCTCTCTCTACCCCCCTCTCTCTACCCCCTCTCTCTCTAACCCCCTCTCTCTCTACCCCCTCTCTCTCTACCCCCCTCTCTCTCTACCCCCCCTCTCTCTCTAACCCCCCTCTCTCTACCCCCCCCCTCTTTCTCTACCCCCTCTTTCTCTACCCCCTCTCTCTCTACCCCCTCCCCCCCCCCCTCCCCCCTCTCTCTATACCCCCTCTCTCTCTACCCCCTCTCTCTCTACCCCCTCCTCTCCTACCCCCCCTCTCTCTCTCTACCCCCCTCTCTCTCTACCCCCCTCTCTCTCTCTACCCCCTCTCTCTCTACCCCCTCTCTCTCTCCCCCCCTCTCTATACCCCCTCTCTCTATACCCCCTCTCTCTCTACCCCCTCTCTCTCTACCCCCTCTCTCTCTACCCCCTCTCTCTCTACCCCCTCTCTCTCGACCTCCTCTCTCTCTACCCCCTCTCTCTCTACCCCCCTCTCTCTCTACCCCCTCTCTCTATACCCCCTCTCTCTCTACCCCCTCTCTCTCTACCCCCTCTCTCTCTACCCCCTCTCTCTCGACCTCCTCTCTCTCTACCCCCTCTCTCTCTACCCCCCTCTCTCTCTACCCCCTTTCTCTCTACCCCCCTCTCCCCCCCCCCCCCCCTCTCTCTACTCTATGTCCCCCCAGTTTTCTATGTAATATTTGAAAAAATAAATTTTAATACGACAAGTGCTGCATCTGCACCCAGCCCTTCTCTCCATCCCCTCTCCGTGCCCCCCTTGAACCCCCCCCCCCAATTCACCACTCCCCCCCCCGCCCGGTCCCATGGGCTGCTGTCAATTAAGCGCGAGTAATTACGAGTGCAGAATTGGCCAGCGGTAATTGCGCGCGCGTCTATTTTGGAAGTTTGGGGAGGCGAGTACGGAACGGAGGTTGATGGAGTGGAGAGTGGGGCACGTGGGTGGGTGTGTGTGTCTATGTGTGTGTGTGTCTATGTGTGTGTGTGTCTATGTGTGTGTGTCCGTGTGTATGTCTGTGTGTGGGGAGCGGTAGTGTAGCGGTTAGCGCGCTGCGCTATGAACCCGGCGACACGGGTTCGATTCCCGCTCACGGCCAACACCAGTGAAGATTATCTGAACCGGTCCCGGGCCTCCCCTTGGTCGACTCAGCCTCAAATGAGTACCTGGTGCGGTGTGTAAACATTACCACTGGGGAGACAAAGGCGGTCGGGCGTGGTGCTGGCAACCCACCCCCTCGTGTACCGTTGCGGCCTTCATAGGTGCTCGCTAACAGCACTTGCCCCTACAGTCTGTTAAGGCTTCTTTGCGTGATGCGTTTGGAGTTGCCGGAAAGCAGTCGGGGGGGGGGGGGTGCCGTGAGTTGCTGGGAGCTGGAGGAAGTTCCTGGGGAGGAGCTCACCCCCCCTCCTCCCCGCTCACCCCTCCTCCTCCTCGCTCACCCCTCCTCCTCCTCCACCCCTCCTCCACCTCCCCCCTCACCCCTCCCCCTCACCCCTCTTCCACCTCACCCCACCCCTCCTCCTCCACCCCTCCTCCACCTCTCCTCCTCCCCCCTCACCCCTCCACCTCCCCCCTCACCCCTCCACCTCCCCCCTCACCCCTCCTCCACCTCCCCCCTCACCCCTCCTCCACCTCCCCCCTCACCCCTCCTCCACCCCTCCTCCACCTCCCCCCTCACCCCTCCCCCTCCACCCCTCCTCCACCTCACCCCTCACCCCTCCTCCACCCCTCCTCCACCTCCCCCCTCACCCCTCCTCCTCCTCCACCCCTCCTCCTCCACCCCTCTCACCCCTCCCCCCCCTCCCCGCCATCCACGTGCAACGTGAGGACAACGCTCATAGCCCTGCAACTCTGTGAGCAGCGCCGCGGGACGAGGCTCTCGGGGAGACGCAGAGACACAGAGAGACACAGAGACACAGAGACACAGGGACACAGAGAGACACAGGGACACAGAGAGACACAGGGACACAGAGAGACACAGGGACACAGAGAGACACAGGGACACAGAAGAGACACAGGGACACAGGGGAGACACAGGGGAGACACAGGGGAGACACAGAGAGACACAGAGAGACACAGAGAGACACAGGGGAGACACGCAGAGACACAGAGAGACGCAGAGACACAGAGAGACGCAGGGGAGACACAGAGAGACACCGGGGAGACACAGAGACACAGGGGAGACACAGTGACACAGAGAGACACCGGGGAGACACCGGGGAGACACGTCAAGATAGACACCCCCACAGAGAGACCTCAAATCCGTGAACACTGCTCCACACATTCCTCTCCTCCTCCTCTTAATCATCATCGGCCTCATCGTCGTCGTCTTTCTCATCATCTCCGTCATCTCCACCATCTCCATCATCTCCACCATCATCACCATCATCTCCACCACCATCAACACCACCATCACCACCACATCTCCAGCTGTGCTGAGCACCGTCGCCTCCTCGCGGCGCGAGATTTGTCTGCGGCTCTGCGGCCGCCGCGTCCCGAACCCCAACTCACACCGCGATCCTCTCCAGAGCTCCAACAACCCAACAACCAACAACAACCAGCAACAACAACCAACAACAACCCACCAGGGCCGTCCATAGGGGCGCGGAGTGCGAGTCCAAGGCAACCCCCACCGTGTGAGCCCCCCCCCCCCCAACCAACGCCTTCAAACTGAACCGGGAGAATCACATCCGACATCGCGACCCCACCCCCCAAAGCGCGGGGCCCGGGGCGGTCGCGCCGACTTCGCCGTCCACCCCTGGAGGCCATCACGTGGACGGTGGCGGCGAGGGCGGGAGACGTCGTCGAGGAGGTGGTTTGATGCGACCGCGTGTCGGTGTCGGTGTCGAGGAGGAGGAGTCGTCGTGACGACACAATCAGCTCGGGGGGGGGGGGGGGTGGGGGGGTGAGTTCGTCCCCCCCAATGTCGCGGTTCGCCACTTCGCACGGTCGCACCTCGAGCCTCTTCGACATCGCCGCCGACTCCCAGAGCCCGAATCGCATCGTTCAGCAGTTTCATCACAACAACATCAACAACATCAACAACATCAACAACATCAACAACAACATCAACAACAACAACATCAACAACATCAACAACAACAACATCATGTAAACCGCGTTTTACATCAGCGTCGTCGTCGTCCTTGTCGTTGTTGTTTAAAAACAAATCTCATGGCGCTTGTTAAGGGGGGCCCCAACTCGTAGCTTTGGCTCGGAGAGAGGAGAGGGGGGGGGGGGCAAGGCACCTCCCGCACGCTCGTCACGCAGCTGCTGGGAGAAAGAGACAGGAGATCGAGGAGGAGGTGGTGGAGGTGAGGAAGGTGGACGAGGTGGACGAGGTGACCCATGGAGCAGCGGCAGCACAGCGGCGTGCCCCCCTCCGTGTTGGCGGGCGGCGAAACGAGCCGGAGCTCGCACCGATACCGAACGTTCATGATGGACGAGATTCTATCGTGCACGGCCAAGAGCGCCGGCCCCCCGCGCGCCGCGGAGCTGGGGACGCGGGCGGCCTACTCCTCATGCCCCTTCGTCTGCCCGGCGCCGTCAGCCGCAGGCGTCTTCCCGCGACCCCTCCTCGGTACGGCCGCGTGCTTCTGCTACTGTGAGTGGCGGTCACTCTCTCTGTCCGTCTCTCTCTGTCTGTGTCTCTCTGTCTCTGCGTCTCTTTGTCTCTGTGTCTCTCCGTCTGTCTCTCTCCCTGTCTCTCTGTGTCTCTGTGTCTCTAACTCTGTGTCTCTCTGTCTCTCTGTCTTTCTGTCTCTGTGTCTCTGTCTCTGTGTCTCTATCTCTGTGTCTCTATCTCTGTGTCTTTATCTCTGTGTCTCTATCTCTGTGTCTCTCTGTCTCTCTGTCTGTCTCTCTGTGTCTCTGTGTCTCTTTCTCTATCTCTGTGTCTCTCTGTCTCTGTCTCTATCTCTGTCTCTGTGTCTCTGTCTGTCTCTCTGTCTTTGTGTCTCTGTGTCTCTGTCTCTCCGTCTGTCTCTCTGTCTCTCTCTCTGTGTCTCTGTGTGTTTTTCTGTCTCTGTCTCTCTGTCTCTGTCTCTCTCTCTGTGTCTCTGTGTGTTTCTCTGTCTCTGTGTCTCTGTGTCTCTATCTCTGTGTCTCTGTATCTCTCTCTGTCTCTCTGTCTCTGTGTCTGTGTCGTCTGTCTCTCCCCACCACCACCACCACCACGCTTCGTTTTTCCGCCGTTTTCTGTCTCTCTCTGTCTTTTTCTGTCTCTGCCTCTCTCTGTCTCACCTTTTGAAGCGCTCGCTCATCACTGTGGCGTGCGCGATGACCACCACCACCACCACGTGACTTTTCTTTCGTGTTGTGCGCGGTGCTTTTAGCGCCACAGCGCGTGGATTTGTAGCGTTTGTTTTCATTTGTTTGCTGGTGACTTTGTGTATTTCATATCGAAATCGCCTCCAGTGCTTTTGCTGCTGGCGGCAAAAAAATTTGTTTAAAAGTCAAAAGTCAAAGTATCTCTCTGTCTCTCTCTCTGTACTTGCTCCGGCAGTACATACAGTATACTCAAATTGGAACGATACAGAGAAGATTAGCTTGGCCCCTGCGCAAGGATTACACGCAAATTCGTGAAGCGTTCTCTCTGTCTCTCTCTCTGTCTGTCTCTCTCTGTCTGTCTCTCTCTGTCTGTCTCTCTCTGTCTGTCTCTCTCTGTCTGTCTCTCTCTGTCTGTCTCTCTCTGTCTGTCTCTCTCTGTCTGTCTCTCTCTGTCTGTCTCTCTGTCTGTCTCTCTCTGTCTGTCTCTCTCTGTCTGTCTCTCTCTGTCTGTCTCTCTCTGTCTGTCTCTCTCTGTCTGTCTCTCTCTGTCTGTCTCTCTCTGTCTGTCTCTCTCTGTCTGTCTCTCTCTGTCTGTCTCTCTCTGTCTGTCTCTCTCTGTCTGTCTCTCTCTGTCTGTCTCTCTCTGTCTGTCTCTCTCTGTCTGTCTCTCTCTGTCTGTCTCTCTCTGTCTGTCTCTCTCTGTCTGTCTCTCTCTGTCTGTCTCTCTCTGTCTGTCTCTCTCTGTCTGTCTCTCTCTGTCTGTCTCTCTCTGTCTGTCTCTCTTTTTTTACGATCAGTGGAAACAAGAAGATGCTCGGTGTAGTCGGCACTTTGCTTCGTTCATCTTTTCGTATTTTTTTTAAAAAACATTTTTAAACTTTGCTTTATGTAAACCCCCACCTCTCGCTCACTCTCTCGGTCACTCTCTCTCGCTCTCTCTCGTTCTGCACTCAGCCCTGTCTCTCTGTCTGTCTCTCCGTCTCTGTCTGTCTCTCTCTCTGCTGGCTCACAATCGGTGTTGTTCTCACACTCCAGAACTACCAGTCCCACCACCACCACGACGCTTCGTTTTTCCGCCGTTTCCCAATCGGCTCCCCCCCACCCCCTCCCCCCGTTCTAATGCTTATTAATTAGTTCCATGCTGCTGCACGCGCCGGATGATTGTTAAACATGTGACGTTCTAAGCACTGAACGCTGTCTGCTGCAAGAGAGCCGACTCACACGAAGCTCGAGGTCTCGGCGTGCGCGCGCGCGCACGTGTTGCATGTACTGGATGTGTGTTGAACTTGATAATTGTTTTTTTACCCTTTTATCTGGCAACAAAACTGACACCTTTATTACAAGGAGTCATGTTTGCATAGACCACAATACCTGCAGTCGTAATGCAAACAAAAAAAACACGTAACTGATAATGTAAGCACTGTCCTTGAAGTTGATTGGTCCACACATGAGACAGCTTTCCTTAGAGCCTAGTCTCACATGGTGTTGGACCAGATGACGCCCAAAGACGCCTATGCGAACATGACTCCTTGTAAAAAAGGTGTCAGTTTTGTTGCCAGATAAAAGAATAAAAAACCAATTATCATATGTTTTACTGGCAAATGAAGTTTCAATGGTGTGTTGAACTTCTTTTGCACCGTACGTAGACAACCGTGTTCATCGGTGTGGTGGTGGTGGTGGTAACAACCTAAACACGTGTACACAGTACACGCGTTTCAGACAACACAAATCCTGCATTAGGACAAACTCATCCTAAAGAAACAAAAACTAACCCCGTGGAAACCCGCGCGGAGTGGTGGCGCAGCGGTTAGCGCATTGTGACGACATGGACGTTTGGTTCCCAGACCACGGCTAACATCAGTGGCGCCGCGTTGGCTAGGAGATGTTAACCTCCTCGCCTAGTGTACAGGTGGTCAAGGGTTCGATCCCGACCCTGACGCCTGCCGCTGTATATTCGGAGTTTGCGTGTCTCTCTCTCCCCGTGGTCGCGTGGATTTTTCTCCGGGTCCTCCTGGTTTTTCACGCCACATTTAGAGTCGGCGTCACCACGCGTTCAGAGTTTTTGGCCGCGCTAAATTGCCACGTGATAAGCCTCTTCCTTGAACTATCATTCATGACCGGGTCGCTTCTGAAAAAAAGTTCAATAGCTCAGTGGGCCTTACCAGGACCTTGGCTCCCAACCCCTACCCCCATCTTCTACCAAACCGCACTCACCAGAGTGGCGAAGTATGGTCAAACATACCCCCCCCCCCATGACCAACAAGACGATGTGATGGTTCTGATGCTGTAGCTGCTGCTGATGGCATTCTAATTATGGTCAGGTACCGTTATTTGTCAATTCACTGCTGGATGAATATCGTGCCAGTTATGCTGCTGATGACGTTACTCATGATGATGATGATGCGTCTAATCTTGATGCTGTTGTTGTTGCTGTTGTTGTTGATGCTGCTGTTGGGGATGATGATGACAACCAACACGACCACCAACCCCACCATCATCACCAACACCATCATCATCACCAACACTTCCATCACCACCACAACCACCATCGCCAACACCTCCACCACAATCATCACGACCACCACCTCCACCACAACCACCATCGTCACCTCCACCACAATCATCACGACCACCACCATCATCATCTCCACCACAACCACCACCAACACCTCCAAATCAACCATCACGACCACCACCTCTACATGTATCACCAACACCTCTACCACCAACCCAAACATCACCAACCCAACCATCACTAACCCTACCATCACCAACCAAACCATCACCAACACCTCCACCACCAACCCTACCATCACCAAACCCTTCCACCACAACCATCACCAACCCCACCAACACCTCCAAATCAACCATCACGACCACCACCACCACCACCACCGCCTTGGCAGCCTCCTACAAGTTCTCCACGTTTCACGGAGCGGCCGCGTGCCCGCTGCTGTCGTCGTCGGCGAGCGGCGCTCCGACTTTTCTGGGGGGGCCCCTGGTGGTCGGGACCCCCTTCCCGGGGGAGCTGAGGCCCCGGGCGGACGCCGCCGCCACGGGAATTCGCAGCAAGCGGTGCCGGAGGAGCCGCACGGTGTTCAGCGAGCTGCAGCTGCTGGGACTCGAGAGGAAATTCGAGAAGCAGAAATACCTGTCGACGCCGGACAGGTGAGAGCCCGGCTCACGTTGGAGACGAAGACAAAGAACCCCCGGGTAGCCTTGGCGGACTGTAGGGGCAAGTGCTGTTAGCGAGTAACGCCTATGAAGGCCGGCACGGCAGCACCACGCCCGGCCGCCTTTGTCTCCCCATGGGGCGATGCTCACACAGCGCACTAAGTACTCATTTGAGGCTGAGTCGACCTAGGGGAGGCCCAGTACCGGTTCAGATACACAGCAGCAGCAGAGGTTTTTAACATAATCACTTATGTCCAGTCAATGCCGTAATCATCATCACGAATTGTATGATTAGCAACATTCAAACCATCATCATCAGCATCAACAGAAGTTCTAAAGTGAGCATGCATGACTATTCAATTTCTCAATACGTGTACGGTAATAACACTCATCAAAACAATCATGATCGTAAAATGTAACACAATCAGCATCAGCACGTTTAAATGCATCGACGATCAACATTACAATCATCATCATCATCAGCAGCATCATCGTTGGTGGTGGCCGAGAGCTGGAATCGAACTCGAGTGGCCGGTTTCGTAGCGCGGCGGCGCGCTTACCGCTACACCACAAGCAGAGCCAGCAGTAAACATCGCTCCACACGCTCCGTGTCAATAACAACAACAACGACGACAACAACACGTGTGTAAGTGTGTGTGTGAGGTCTTGATAGCGGTGGTGTAGCGGTTAGCGCGCTGCGCTATGAATCCAGCGACCCGAGTTCGATTCCCGCTCACGGCCAACAACAACAACGCGACGATTATCTGAACCGGTCTTGGGCCTTCCCCCTAGGTCGACTCGGCCTCAAATGAGTACCTGGTGCGGTGTGTGAATCATCGCCACTTGGGAGACAAAGCTGGCCGGGCGTGGTGTTGACCACCCATCCTCTCGCGTGCCGTGCCGGCTTTAATAGCTGCTCGCTAACAGCACTTGCCGCAACAGTCTGTTACAGGCTACACGGGGGATCTTTGTCTTTTAGTAGAAAACGTTTTGCAATCGCCGACGTTTTAGGTCGATGGCCTTTCTTCTCGGCACGTGCATGGAGAGGGGTCAGCGAGCGTGTCAATGATCATAATTGTACAACAATGATTCAAATTTATTATAATTGTACAACAATGATTCTAATTTATTATAATTCTACAACAATGGTATTGGTGTGGTTACAACCGCGCGCACACGACCACAAATTACTGCAATGAATATACTTTCTGATAATTGTATAATTATTATAATTGTACAATTATTCTAATTTATTCTAATTCTACAACAATGGTATTGGTGTGGTTACAACCGCGCGCACACGACCACGAATTATAAGCAATGAATGTAATTGATGATAATTGTACAATGATCATAATTATAATTGTACAATGATTCTAATTTATTCTAATTCTACAACAATGGTATTGTTGTGGTTATAATTGCGCAGACACAACACCGTATCGCATCACAAATTATTCCAATGCAAATAATGGATTATAATTGTACAATCATAATTTATTATAATAATTGTACAACAATGTAATTGTTGTGGTTACAACCGCGCGCATACGACACCACGTCTCATCACACACTCGGCGTTCATTCCAGCCCATCACGAAAGCTCCCCGCCACCTGCAAATCATCTCCGCTGGCACGGCGCGTATTTTTAGGAAAAACAAGTGCAGTCGTTTAACTTGCCGAGAGCTAATCACGTCTAAGAAAAGCCTGTGTAAGCACTGCAGCTAATGTGAGACACGTGTGTGCCTTGCTGTGTTCACACGTGCGTGTTTGATGTGCCACCGCTTGCGTTGTTTGCGTATGCGAGTTGATGTATATACGCTTTGTGTGTATATTATTATAATTATAATGCCGTATTCATCATCAGCAGCAGCAGCCATGGTCAATCCACAGCTGGATTAAGGCCTCTACGCGTCGCGTGGGTCGTGCGGCTTGTTTTGGCCATACTTCCCCACACTGGTCAGTGCAAAGTTCGCGATGGGCGATGTCAGCACCCGTCCATCGAAGGCCGGGATGGGGAACGATTCTGCGGGCCGTATACGCCCCGCGAAATCATTTGGTGTGGCCCTGCCAAGGCAACCGCAGACGGAACTCGAAATTCAACAAATCTAGGAGCAAACCTGGCAAAGCAGTTGCGAGTAGCAGCAACATCATCAACACCAGCAGCTAACATCATCACACGCCTCGCCAAAGAGAAGCAGTTCCAGCCCATCATCGCATTAGGGGTGCGAGACAATTAAATGTTTGACCCAAATATAACAAGGCTAATTTTTAAGTTGATAATTTTGTATGGCCCGCGAATGATGTTTTCAATATCCAAATGGCCCTTGGCAGAGAAAATGTTCCCCGCCCCTGATCTCAGAGCTGTCTCGCTCCTCTGATGTCAGCCGCGTGGTGGAAAAACGTGGACTCGAAGTCGGCTGGTTCGCGACGGCCACTCGTACCGACTCGCTGTTCTCGCCACAACACGAACAACAAACACCACTCGCACCAACTCGCTGTACTCACCACAACACGAACCACGAACTCCACTCGCACCAACTCGCTGTTCTCGCCACAACACGAACCACAAACACCACTCGCACCAACTCGCTGTTCTCGCCACAACACGAACAACAAACGCCACTCGCACCAACTCGCTGTTCTCACCACAACACGAACCACTAACGCCACTCGCACCAACTCGCTGTTCTAGCCACAACACGAACCACTAACGCCACTCGCACCAACTCGCTGTTCTCACCACAACACGAACAACAAACGCCACTCGCACCAACTCGCTGGTCTCGCCACAACACGAACCACAAACACCACTCGCACCAACTCGCTGTTCTCGCCACAACACGAACCATTAACGCCACTCGCACCAACTCGCTGTTCTCGCCATAACACGAACCACAAACTCCACTCGCACCAACTCGCTGTTCTCACCACAACACGAACCACGAACTCCACTCGCACCAACTCGCTGTTCTCACCACAACACGAACCACAAACGCCACTCGCACCAACTCGCTGTTCTCACCACAACACGAACCACGAACTCCACTCGCACCAACTCGCTGTTCTCACCACAACACGAACCACAAACTCCACTCGCACCAACTCGCTTTTCCTCACCACAACACGAACAACAAACGCCACTCGCACCAACTCGCTGTTCTCACCACAACACGAACCACAAACGACACTCGCACCGACTCGCTGTTCTCACCACAACACGAACCACAAACGACACTCGCACCGACTCGCTGTTCTCACCACAACACGAACCACGAACTCCACTCGCACCGACTCGCTGTTCTCACCACAACACGAACCACAAACTCCACTCGCACCAACTCGCTGTTCTCACCACAACACGAACCACGAACTCCACTCGCACCGACTCGCTGTTCTCACCACAACACGAACCACAAACTCCACTCGCACCGACTCGCTGTTCTCACCACAACACGAACCACAAGGTATTAGTGTGTGTGTTTATATAGTATTAGTGTGAGTTTAAATAGTATTAGTGTGTGTGTTTATATAGTATTAGTGTGAGTTTATATAGTATTAGTGTGAGTTTATATAGTATTAGTGTGTGTTTATATAGTATTAGTGTGTGTGTTTATATAGTATTAGTGTGTGTGTTTATATAGTATTAGTGTGTGTTTATATAGTATTAGTGTGTGTGTTTATATAGTATTAGTGTGAGTTTATATAGTATTAGTGTGTGTTTATATAGTATTAGTGTGTGTGTTTATATAGTATTAGTGTGTGTTTATATAGTATTAGTGTGTGTGTTTATATAGTATTAGTGTGAGTTTATATAGTATTAGTGTGTGTGTTTATATAGTATTAGTGTGAGTTTATATAGTATTAGTTGTGTGTTATATAGTATGTGTGTTTATATAGTATTAGTGTGTGTGTTATATAGTATTAGTGTGTGTGTTTATATAGTATTAGTGTGTGTGTTTATATAGTATTAGTGTTGTGTTTATATAGTATTAGTGTGTGTTTATATAGTATTAGTGTGTTGAGTGTGTGTTATATAGTATAGTGTGTGTGTTATATAGTATTGTGTGTGTGTATATAGTATTAGTGTGTGTGTTTATAGTATTAGTGTGTGTGTTTATATAGTATTAGTGTGGTGTTTATATAGTATTAGTGTGTGTGTTTATATAGTATTAGTGTGTGTGTTTATATATTATTAGTGTTGTTATATAATACTAGTGTGTGTGTTTATATATATTAGTGTGTGTGTTTCTATAGTATTAGTGTGTGTTTATATTAGTATTAGTGTGTGTTATATAGTATTAGTGTGTGTTTATATAGTATTAGTGTGTGTGTTATATAGTATTAGTGTGTGTGTTTATATAGTATTAGTGAGTTGTTGTAATAGTACTAGTGTGTGTGTTTATATTAGTATTAGTGTGTGTGTTTATATAGTATTAAGTGTGTGTGTTTATATAGTATTAGTGTGTGTGTTTATATAGTATTAGTGGTGTGTTTATATAGTATTAGTGTGTGTGTGTATATAGTATTAATGTGTTGTCTTATATAGTATTAGTGTGTGTGTTTATATAGTATTAGTGTGTGTTTATATATATTAGTGTGTGTGTGTTTATATATCATTAGTGTGTGTGTTTATATAGTATTAGTGTGTGTGTTTATATAGTATTAGTGTGTGTTTATATAGTATTAGTGTGTGTGTTATAAATCATTAGTGTGTGTTGTATATAGTAGTAGTGTGTGTGTGTATATAGTATTTGGTGTGTGTTTATATAGTATTAGTGTGTGTATATAGTATTAGTGTGTGTTTAGATAGTATTAGTGTGGTGTGTATATATATTAGTGTGTGTTATATAGTATTAGTAGTAGTGTGTGTTTATATAGTATAGTGTGTGTTTATATAGTATTAGTAGTGGTGTATATAGTATTAGTGTGTGTTTTAGTATTAGTATGTGTAGTATTAGTGTGTTTATAGTATTAGTGTGTGTGTTTATATA